CTGGAGGCCGTCCTCGTCTTTGTTTGACGTCCCAAGGGATCTAGTCAGTAAAGGCCCCGGTTCCAAGGGCCATCACGACATCGCATACCACCGATACCAGCCCACCTAATTTTCGATTTCTTATCGTAAAAAACGGCGTCCCTGATCTTCGTTCGTTGACGTAGCTCGGAATTGCGGATTCCTCTCTGCACTTCAGTGTATTTAGTTCCGAGCATCGCCCTTTCCAATGCGAGTTGAAAAACGTTGACTTCAGGCTCATCAGTTTTCCTCGAGTTCAACTCTATGAGGAGTACGTCAAAGAATGAAGAACTGCAGTAGCTAAGAGGTGAGGGCGGAGCCGGATGCTCTTCTTTACTGCTCCCTCGATATTTTTAAATACTCTCACCGCAGCGCGTTTCCTTCTGCTCAGCTCCGTCGATCATAATTAGTTCTCGTTCTGGATACACGTAGCTAGAGTATTCAGAGATATTCGTTCCTTCTAGCGCGAAGAGAGCATTACGCACCATTCCCTTTCTCGTGAAAATCTTTTCCGTAAGTTCAGTCTCAAGCCCGATCTTTATGCAAGCACTGTCATTCTGCCACTGCTAGCATTCGTTCCGCGTGCTCGATGTTTGACGTTATAAGGACGACTTCGTTTGCATAGCGAGGTGATGTAAGTAGAAGCCGTTCACCTTCACTCCCATGTCTTCCCATTCCAAATGACGCAAGCATAACGTTCTCGAGAGCGGCACTAAAGCTCGTAGACTTCATGAAGCACCCTTACATATTGAGTAGGAGCATCCTGGTTGCCCAGGGCAGTAACTGTTCGGTTACGACGACAAAGGAAGTCATCTTGGTCGTATAGTTGAAGAGGCTTTGCGAACGCTCTCCCTAGAGGCTTCAGGAAAACTGTAGCTCTTCTTTCTTCCAGATCTCCCTTTACCGCTTCTCTGCACGGCATAGCAAGTTCGGACGTTAGCTGTTTATTGCCTGCAGCTCGTGCGATTCCACGCTGTCGTACCAGCTCGAAAGTCTTCAAAGAGATACGCCTCTTGGCATCTTTGAGACGCCCTGTATTTCTGGCGCTATCGTGAAGGTGTTCGACGAGCCGGTCGTATTCTTCATCAATGTTGTCGCTAACGGAGTCTTCCCACTTACTCGGAAGGCTTTGTCTCCTGAACTTCGCAGCTCTCTCCGCGCACTGAAAAGCAGAATCTAGCGCGGAGAAGAGGGTGCTTTGATCCTGTACTGAACTTCGGAACAACAGCGACGTTAGTCAGGCAAAGTTCCTATTGAACGTCATGTGATCTATCTCGTTATGGAACTGTCCACCTTGTGACTCCCATGTTCATCGGGAATGAGAAGGCTTCTGGAACTGCGAGTTACCATAGATAGTCTTGGTCGAAATGATAAATTCGGACAGCCTTTAACCCTACTCATTCCATTCCATTCCGTAAATAACGATGTGGAGCTCTGCAGCCTTTCTTCTGAGGCCAATCTTGACGTTGAAAACACGAACGGTGACCTTGAAACAAGTATGGTCTCCTAATTAGAGCCTCTCTAACACCATGTAGAACACATCCAACTCTTCTTCGTAGCTCTATGTTGGTGCGTAAAAAACGGAGATTGGTAGAGCCGGGGTTAGCCACATCTTCTCAATCGCCATTTGGACTGTTAAGCTTTTATAAGAATCGATGTATATGGCCACGGGCGTGTTGACGAGGAAGCCTACGCCACCGTTGTCTCTGCTGTCACACGTTTCAAGGAAGAGTTTCTCTCTAGTTCCAAAAGTGACGTGCAACGAGCGGTGCCTTCTCGATTTGGTCAGTCCAATGACGTCGTCTTGATCTTGCTGGTGTGCATTATCAGATCATTGATCCACGCTTCCGATGCAAGTGTTTCTGCATTGAAAGTACAGATTGCCATCACAGTGGCTCTCCTTTTGTTGAGCAGCCTTCCTCGAGTGGTCCTACCCGCCGCTGCCAAAATGGGGGCTCCCTCAAGTTCAGGGCATTAAGGTCAATTTTATTAGTTTTTGGCGTATGGATACCCACATGAAGTTGCTAAGCTCTGACACGTGGAAGTGAGAGATGGTTTTTTTATACTAATACAGTTAGACCTACATATAGAACCAAGCTTATTTGTTACAAGTATTTTATTAGAGACAGTCTCAATAACGTCAAAAAATTTTTTTTAAGGAATTGTGAAAAACTTTCAGTAAAAAAACATTGGTCAAAGTGAAGACCATTTTTCATCGTTGTACCTTGTTCAACTACTATATTGGACAGTGCATTTTACCCATTCCTTTGTCTGTTAGCCTCAAACCACTGATTAGCCTCGGGGGAAGGAGGAAATGGTGTGCATTTTTCATATCATTTAGCAATGCCACTGATTCCAATTTGTTACACTTCATTTATTGCATCGGTGGTGGCTGCAACCGATGACCAAGCCGCCCTGATTGGTGGAGAGTTGGACGATCCCTCTAATACGGCCGTCAATATTCGTTCAAATATCTTCACACTCTGCTAGAGCAGGCGAATGGGGCGTTAGCTAGCGCAATCTGCAGAACTACTCTTATTCTTCTATATCTAAATGGTAATACTCTTCTGCCAACTCTCACGCGCCTTTTTTTCTGTGACGACCTGATTGAGGAATATCGGAGGATGGTAGCCCCGTGACTTTCACACGTCGGCTGCTGAGTGGTCAGGACCATTTGCCTCGCCGGACATCATCTCATTCAGAGCTATTTCCGTTTCCTCGATTGTTACCCTTTGTAATGGCAGGACAAAAGGTACGGGCGGATGGGCAAATTATACAGATGAGATTTTCCGAAAAAGTACTGCAATCGTTCCACTGCTTTCTCGTGGTCTGTCAAAAGGTGGGCGTTTTCGTCACTGATGCCGACAAATTTCCGGATATCCTCAGTCTTCCGATGGCAGGATTTAGCGAGAGGATAAACATCTCGTTTACCATCGCGCTTTTTAGTTACTCGCATATATAAGCATAATGCAACCCCACGGCCTCCTTCTTCGCCTTCCTTGCTTCACGATTGTTCTGCCACTTAATAGTGGTCTCGCCAAAAGGGAACACATCTTAGAGCTTCTTCTTCTCGCGCACTTTTCCTCCGTTCTCAATTTGTCCATTGCCATGCTTGCCTATTTTCCGCCCTTTAGGCTAACTATCACGTAGCTAAGGGCGAGCAGTTATTGCTTCATCTGCACCTTTCCAAGTTTCCTTGACGGCCGTGACAGACGGTAGCTGGATTTAAATAATCAAGAATAACCTCTTTTCCTTTGAGCGCCACCACATGATTTTCGCTGACCCACATTTTTCAACTTGTTCCTAGGATGATGGAGATGATAGGATGTTGCGTGGAGACCATCTCGTTTGCATTTGCATCGCCTACTGAGGCGAGAAACAAAGAACTCAACAGGAAGAAGTCAAAAAGATCAAACTCCTAACTTCATACCGCATACACATCCAAATTCTTCCCAGAACTTAATGAAGTTTAAATGCGTATTGAAAGCCATTTGTTTAGGGCAGTATTCATAAGTCGAAGACAATTATAGATCAATTATAGAACTTAAAATGCTAAATGAGTTTCCTAAAAAAGTTATGAGTGTTCAAAATCGCTTGCACATACCGTGGAGAGGCAGCGTCAACTGAAATATGCAGTTGTTGACACTGGCGCAAGGGTCCCCGTGGCGCAGAGGTAGCGCTTTTGGGGCGAACGATGTGGGTTTGCTGCCCACCTCCGCGCCAAGTCTAGCAAAGTGTGCTTCCTAACCATTGAAGCTTTGATAACATTTTCTGTTATATATTGAAGATATAATGTATCTAACAATCTTCATTTCGGCTTTCGCTGTCTCTGCACGTCAATTCTATGAGTATTTCAACGCGCGAGGCTTTCCATCATTACAACCTGGTTTGTAGCAAAAAATATCCGAGAATCTTGAATAACGAGGGGCACCAAACATTCGGTATACTTGCATAGAACCTTAAATATACGGTCTATCAGTGTGACATATAAGTCAGCATTGTTTAGCAATGCGCAAGATGATCCGCATTATAACGCTTCTCATGGGTCCGAAGAGAGAAACGTCCAAAAGTTGTGAAAAAGCGTCCTCGCTCACGAAGTCTTTTCCTGTTGACCATGAGCCTCTGATAATTATAGATGATGTACCTATCCTGACTACCGGAGTTGAAGGTTCAAAGTGACCTTGTCGCGAAAAATTTCCTCTTTTTCTGAAGTACGAAATACAATGTTTCCCCCCAGCTCGCCTTCATCATAGAACAATGAGAGAATGGTATACGGATGCATGAGAGCTGCCCTGCTTTCAACAACCCCTCCAATCTGAAGGAAATAGTGAAAGGTGTGAGCCCTCGACAATGAGTAAAAATGTAGGAAAAATATCTCATTTACATATTTTTTTGGACTGGAATCGTTTGCCCGAAATAGGAGAGGATTATCTCTGCGCCGTGGAGGTCCTGGCGCTGATATCAACAACTATATATTTCAATTGACACTATTTTTCCAAGCTTCGGCAAGCAAACTTAAAGCTCTAGGCGGCATTCCGAAAGCTATTGGTATATCTAACCCTTCCCCCGTCAGATGATGTGCTGGAAATAAATAGACCAGTAGCTACAACGTACATCTAAACACGAATTCTCTAATGAAGAACTTCAGTCTAGGCTTGACTTGAAATCGGCTCGGCGGTCGGCGAATGGCTGCTTTCATAGTCCGCCGGCCGGCGTGCCGGCGGAGGCAGTGCTAGGGGGGAGGAGGGAGGCAGACAGTGTAAGGCAAACAGTCCACGCCCCTTCGAAGGTTGTTTGTTTTCAACCCCTCGAAGGGGCGTGGACTGTTTGCCTATCCGTCTGTCTCCCTCCTCCCCGCTAGCACTGCCTCCACGCCGGCACGTCGGCCGGCGGACTATGAAGCAGCCAATGCGTCGCGGTTTGTCGCTCTTTTGTGAGCGGATTTGATGATAGAACATCTCGAAACAGATTCGAAGTGTCGTTTATAAGTGCTGACGGGATTCCTTCGGATGCAGGCGGGACGGTTGGATTCGACACCGTCGTGTTTGTACATTTGGCACATTCATCGATGAGCCGAAGCTATTCAATAACGTATCTTCCACTTGTTCGGGTATACCGGAACATTTCTGGTTCGCACGACGTCGATCGACTGGTACTTCGATCAAAACATCATATGCTGCATGTCCATGAAGAGTGAGAACTTTTGCAAGAATCCATTTTCTTCTCGCTCTCTGAAAGTCTATACCTCAAAAGGCATCTTCTGGTTTGTAGAATTTCGGAATGGTGCCTTGGTAGCGCTTGAATCGGTCGTTCATGTTCTTGTTCCATGCGCAACTACGTGTCGAATTATTCCGTGCGCAACTACGTGTCGAATTAAAGTAAGTAGTGTAGTGGGATACGGAGTCGATGTTTAAGAAACTTCTCAGCTGGTGATCGCTTTTCAAGAGAGGATGTGACCGGGTTTTCCGATCGGACATGAGAAATTTCTGTACAGCCCTCACCCCCGTTTCGGAAATTTCTATCGTTTCAATTCACGTTTAAGTGGATTTATGGCGGTAGGGAAGGGCGGAGGTACGCAATATTTTGCGGATTTCCGTGAATTCCATGGAGGTGAGCTGACTTTCGTCATCAAAACTACGGTTTCGGGGCATCCAAACTGTGCGAGTAGCCTGCTATTGCTGCATAAAAGCTTTGCATGTGGTTGAAGATATCCCAGTAATTGAAGATATTGAGTAGGCATCCACAACAATGAGAATTTTTTCATGTAATGATACAGCAAACTGACCATGGACACTTGACCATGGTTTCTTTTCGTTCAGCATTGTGAAGAGTTCCGTTTTGACTGGTACTTAGGCAATTTGTTGACAGCTGGGCATTCTCCAACGAAATTTCCGATGTCTTCTGTTACGTTATCCAATAAACATAAGAACACGCGAGACTCTTCATACCTGACACAGCGGATGTCGTGCGGGCAACAAAGCAAGTGCCTAATTCTGTAACTTTTACAAGACCACAATCTTGATCGGACGAAAAGGCAGTGTTCAGAGTGAGAAAGAAAGATCAAGTGCGAAAGGAAAAAATCGATGAAAGTTTCTCCATCCATTTGTCTTCGTTCGCGAACATACTGTATTACACACGTCAGTGTTTCACCTATGACACCCTCTTTCGCTCTCAAATTCGCATCAATCAGATCTTGTGTTTTCATAGGCTTATCTTAGATCTTAACCTCATAGGAAGCGGCTGCGATTACGATGTCTTCGGCCTGTTCCGCTTGTTCAACAAACATACGTGACAAGGCATTCGGAAACTGCAAACTGTGGACAAGCCGATGCCTTGTCCACAGTTTGCAGTTTCCCTGTGGTCAACATTGAAGTCGTATCCTGAAGTAACAATGAGCACAGAGGGGACGATTGACTGTTTATGCGGGTAAGCATTTCGTGCCTCTGAAATAAAGATAGTAGAGGTTTGTGGTCTGTAAGAAAGGGCGTACTGACGTTCTAGCAAACATCTATAAATATTGTGCACTGCGTAGACCAAAGCAAGACCTTCATTTTCAGTTTGACCATAGCTCTATTTCAGTCAAAGTTTCGGACAGCATGGCTAATTGCCTTCTGCGAACTATTTGGGGAGCGGTGTAGGCTGAGGACTACAATGCCACAAATAGATTCATTGTCTGCCACAGTAGGGTCTACTTTGGGGTCATATTAGGTAAGTAGAGCGATGAGCAGAGTGAGGAGGAAGACGTTTAGGATATCTTTAGCTTTTTTTGAAGCGAACTCAAAATTCTAATGACTCGATTCTTCTCAGGACGAGCACGTTGGAAGTTTGCGTTATATTTCCAGGATAGTGGACCTCTGACATCATGAACTGACCTTCTTCCTAACACACAGGGAAAAATTTATTGTTGCACTCTACGAAGAAAAGCTACGAGATTGTGGCGATGCTCCGCTGTAGTTCGTCCAGTAACAGTTATGTCTTCTGGATACGCTGTTAGTCCACCAAGTCCTGTCATCATTAAGTTGATAGTCTACGGTACATACGTGGAGCTGGCTTGACTCCGAGTGGCAGGCGGTTGTAGCGGAAAAGATATGTATTGACTGTGAGGAATTTTTGCGAGTTCTCGTTCACTGATAACTCCCAAAATCAACCAGGAGAAAGTTGATAACTGAGATGGTATAAGTTAATAAGGCTCGGCAGATTAATATCATAGGACAGGGCAGCATATAATCACCGAATTAGGCCGGAGTCATCAAATATTTTGATTTTCAAGCTGCTCAACTGCAAGCAGCGCAGCCTCTTCAAGGCTTTCTGGATCCGGTTACCGGTAGGTGCGGCATAGAGTGAATACAGTCTTTGAACCCTTGTAGTCCTATCTACGACCGTTTTTTCGGTCTGACAGCGCCACATATGGCATGCGCGAGGTAATTCATCTTGAGGAAATCCCTTAGAAATCATGTTCGTCGAGAAGGGTGTCTTCGAAACTGTTACTCTTTGCTTTAGAGAGAGGCGAAAAAGCTGCTGAAGCTGCCCCTGCTGACATCTGAACTGGGTACAAAGGAAATGCTATAAGCGAAAAACTATTTGAAAAGGTAACGCTCCTCATGGTTTTTGCATGGTGGGACTACATGGACGTTGCATACTGGTAAATTTGAAGAAAAATTTTGTAGTGAAAAAGACTTTCCAATAAATTAGTTGCATCGAGTCAACAAGCATTGCCACTGAAAAGGCGCGACCCACAAATCGAAGCCATTGGCTGTTCTCATAGTCCGCCGGCGTGCCAGCCGAGGTAGTGCTGGGGAGGAGGAGGGAGGCAGTCGGTCGGCCAACGCGGTCGCGTCGCGCCTCTTTCGTCGCCCATTTAAAGAGCAATGACTATTCTCAAAAACTCGGAGAGCGATGACTTCCTCAAAAGTGCTCCTACAATTTCTTATACATTGACCAGCCACGTTGTCTATAAGCTGAACAGGTTGCAAATTATAAATGGAAATACAAAACGGAGCACCAATGATCAATAGTCTACTCTACTGGTTCTCAGTAAAAGGTTGTTTTGAAACAAAGCGCTACGATATAATGTACAAACCCAGTAACGAAATAATCGCATGACCAAATGGTAACGGACAGCAGTACCGAACCCCAACCACCTAGAGAAAGAAAAAACGAAACAGTTCATACCGTTAAGTCGCTTTCCTGCCGGCTTCTGAAGACCAGGTGGTGGAATGGCTCCCAAGAGAGGCATCTCTGGAGGAGGGCTCCGACCGCTGTTCGACCCACCAGAGGACTGATATATATGAACTGCTCGATCATGACAATTTTCAGCGGGTTCCATTCCACATCTCAAACGGAGATTTTTACATCATGGTGCGCTCATACCATATTTGTAAACTCTACCTCTAAAGCCTTCACCTTAGGCAGTGGCTGGAGAACGTTTGAAGGAATTATGTTACAACTTCCTTTTATGTTAACTTACCAGTTGAGCTACACACGCTAACGCATGCATTACGTGTCCACATCCACATATCTACAATCTTATTCAAGGATGGCTATATTCTTTATGCTTACTACACAGGATGCTGCTTCAATCAAAATTACACCTTGGTTTCAGTTTCGGGACTCACACTTCTAGAGTGAACAAGCTGAGAGTACAGGGTTCGTCGAGTTTTATGTCACACTTTCTTGCAAACCCTATATATATATATATATTCTCAATCGCTCAAGTCTCCGGTGACTTTTTTGCTAGTAGACAAAATTGCGCAAAATTTGGACATGTTGGACTAGAGCACAATTCATCCTACCCAACACTATTTGACTGCAAAGCTTCAATGTCCACAGAGATAGCAAGGTGTTTGTTGCGGTGGCAGATTTTGCTAAAACTAAAGTTGTT